TGTGTTTGTCTCTGCGCGTGTGCTGAATCTGTGTTTCTCAGCTCGTGTGCTAAATCTGTGTTTTTCTGCGAGTGCTGAATCTCTATTCGTCTCTGCGCGTGTGCTGAATTTGTGTTTCTCTGCGTGTGTGCTGAATCTGTATTTGTCTCTGCGCGTGTGCTGAATTTGTGTTTCTCTGTGCGTGTGCTGAAGCTGTATGTGTTTGTCTCTGCGCGTGTGCTGAATCTGTGTGTGTTTGTCTCTGCGCGTGTGCTGAATCTATTTGTTTCTGCGCGTGTGCTGAATCTGTGTGTGTTTGTCTCTGCGCGTGTGCTGAATCTGTATTTGTCTCTGCGCGTGTCCTGAATCTGTGTGTGTTTGTCTGTGCGCGTGTGCTGAATCTGTGTGTTTCTCTGCGCGGGTGCTGAATCTGTATTTGTCTCTGCGCGTGTCCTGAATCTGTGTGTGTTTGTCTGTGCGCGTGTGCTGAATCTGTGTGTTTCTCTGCGCGGGTGCTGAATCTGTATTTGTCTCTGCGCGTGTCCTGAATCTGTGTGTGTTTGTCTGTGCGCGTGTGCTGAATCTGTGTGTTTCTCTGCGCGGGTGCTGAATCTGTATTTGTCTCTGCGCGTGTCCTGAATCTGTGTGTGTTTGTCTGTGCGCGTGTGCTGAATCTGTGTGTTTCTCTGCGCGGGTGCTGAATCTGTATTTGTCTCTGCGCGTGTCCTGAATCTGTGTGTGTTTGTCTGTGCGCGTGTGCTGAATCTGTGTGTTTCTCTGCGCGGGTGCTGAATCTGTATTTGTCTCTGCGCGTGTCCTGAATCTGTGTGTGTTTGTCTGTGCGCGTGTGCTGAATCTGTGTGTTTCTCTGCGCGGGTGCTGAATCTGTATTTGTCTCTGCGCGTGTCCTGAATCTGTGTGTGTTTGTCTGTGCGCGTGTGCTGAATCTGTGTGTTTCTCTGCGCGGGTGCTGAATCTGTATTTGTCTCTGCGCGTGTCCTGAATCTGTGTGTGTTTGTCTGTGCGCGTGTGCTGAATCTGTGTGTTTCTCTGCGCGGGTGCTGAATCTGTATTTGTCTCTGCGCGTGTCCTGAATCTGTGTGTGTTTGTCTGTGCGCGTGTGCTGAATCTGTGTGTTTCTCTGCGCGGGTGCTGAATCTGTATTTGTCTCTGCGCGTGTCCTGAATCTGTGTGTGTTTGTCTGTGCGCGTGTGCTGAATCTGTGTGTTTCTCTGCGCGGGTGCTGAATCTGTATTTGTCTCTGCGCGTGTCCTGAATCTGTGTGTGTTTGTCTGTGCGCGTGTGCTGAATCTGTGTGTTTCTCTGCGCGGGTGCTGAATCTGTATTTGTCTCTGCGCGTGTCCTGAATCTGTGTGTGTTTGTCTGTGCGCGTGTGCTGAATCTGTGTGTTTCTCTGCGCGGGTGCTGAATCTGTATTTGTCTCTGCGCGTGTCCTGAATCTGTGTGTGTTTGTCTGTGCGCGTGTGCTGAATCTGTGTGTTTCTCTGCGCGGGTGCTGAATCTGTATTTGTCTCTGCGCGTGTCCTGAATCTGTGTGTGTTTGTCTGTGCGCGTGTGCTGAATCTGTGTGTTTCTCTGCGCGGGTGCTGAATCTGTATTTGTCTCTGCGCGTGTCCTGAATCTGTGTGTGTTTGTCTGTGCGCGTGTGCTGAATCTGTGTGTTTCTCTGCGCGGGTGCTGAATCTGTATTTGTCTCTGCGCGTGTCCTGAATCTGTGTGTGTTTGTCTGTGCGCGTGTGCTGAATCTGTGTGTTTCTCTGCGCGGGTGCTGAATCTGTATTTGTCTCTGCGCGTGTCCTGAATCTGTGTGTGTTTGTCTGTGCGCGTGTGCTGAATCTGTGTGTTTCTCTGCGCGGGTGCTGAATCTGTATTTGTCTCTGCGCGTGTCCTGAATCTGTGTGTGTTTGTCTGTGCGCGTGTGCTGAATCTGTGTGTTTCTCTGCGCGGGTGCTGAATCTGTATTTGTCTCTGCGCGTGTCCTGAATCTGTGTGTGTTTGTCTGTGCGCGTGTGCTGAATCTGTGTGTTTCTCTGCGCGGGTGCTGAATCTGTATTTGTCTCTGCGCGTGTCCTGAATCTGTGTGTGTTTGTCTGTGCGCGTGTGCTGAATCTGTGTGTTTCTCTGCGCGGGTGCTGAATCTGTATTTGTCTCTGCGCGTGTCCTGAATCTGTGTGTGTTTGTCTGTGCGCGTGTGCTGAATCTGTGTGTTTCTCTGCGCGGGTGCTGAATCTGTATTTGTCTCTGCGCGTGTCCTGAATCTGTGTGTGTTTGTCTGTGCGCGTGTGCTGAATCTGTGTGTTTCTCTGCGCGGGTGCTGAATCTGTATTTGTCTCTGCGCGTGTCCTGAATCTGTGTGTGTTTGGCTGCGCGTGTGCTGAATTTCTGTTTCTCTGCGCGTGTGCTGAATCTGTGTTTTTCTCTGTGCGTGTGCTGAATCTGCGTTTGTCTCTACGCGTGTGCTGGATCTGCGTTTGTCTCTACGCGTGTGCTGGATCTGCGTTCGTCTCTCTCTTTTTGTCTGCACGTGTGCTGAATCTGCGTGTATTTCTCTGCGCGTGTGCTGAATCTGTGTGTGTTTGTCTCTGCGCGTGTGCTGAATCTGTGTGTGTTTGTCTCTGCGCGTGTGCTGAATCTGTGTGTGTTTGTCTCTGCGCGTGTGCTGAATCTGTGTGTGTTTGTCTCTGCGCGTGTGCTGAATCTGTGTGTGTTTGTCTCTGCGCGTGTGCTGAATCTGTGTGTGTTTGTCTCTGCGCGTGTGCTGAATCTGTGTGTGTTTGTCTCTGCGCGTGTGCTGAATCTGTGTGTGTTTGTCTCTGCGCGTGTGCTGAATCTGTGTGTGTTTGTCTCTGCGCGTGTGCTGAATCTGTGTGTGTTTGTCTCTGCGCGTGTGCTGAATCTGTGTGTGTTTGTCTCTGCGCGTGTGCTGAATCTGTGTGTGTTTGTCTCTGCGCGTGTGCTGAATCTGTGTGTGTTTGTCTCTGCGCGTGTGCTGAATCTGTGTTTTTCTCTGTGCGTGTGCTGAATCTGCGTTTGTCTCTGCGCGTGTGCTGGATCTGCGTTTGTCTCTACGCGTGTGCTGGATCTGCGTTCGTCTCTCTCTTTTTGTCTGCACGTGTGCTGAATCTGCGTGTATTTCTCTGCACGTGTGCTGAATCTGCGTGTATTTCTCTGCGCGTGTGCTGAATCTGTGTGTATTTCTCGGTGCGTGTGCTGAATCTGTGTTTTTCTCTGCGTGTGTTTTTCTCTCTGCACTTGTGTTTATTCTGTGTTTGTGTCTCAGGCTCACTGGTGGGCGGTTCTGCTTATGGGAATTGCTCTCATCATGCTCATGGCCGGATTCATTAAGATCTGCAGCGTTCACACACCCAGCAGCAACCCCAAACTGCCTCCTCCTAAACCACTGCCAGGTAACGCACCTCCTCACTGACAGTGTCAGAAAGACCCGTTTCCATGCACGTCAGTATTGAGACGTTTTAAATTGTGTCAGTAGTGGTTTTATGTAGTATGGATACACTGATACCAGCTGTTCTTTCTCACTCTCTCCTCTCAACACGCTGCAGTGTGTTTTAATTAAATAAAAGTATGCTGTGTGTTTCAGAGTGAAGTGCTGTATTCAAGTGTTTATATCCAGTTTTCAGCATCTCACTTCACAGTAAATGCAGCAAACTCAATGCCTGCATGTGCTGCAAGGTTAACATACATTTTTGTAATGCAACTTTACACTTTTTTACAATTTCCAACATTTTTGTAGACAAATGATTACAGCAGTTCACACTTTCAAGAATGTAGATTTGTAATGAGATGCGTTTGGCCAAAATAAAATCTTTAACTCTTACAATTGAAGAAATTAACTAAGTATTAATTGTGTAAAATAAAATGTTAATTATAAAATGTTCTTTTTTTTATTTTACAGTATAGTGTTATTATAATACTAATCTTAGAAATAATAATAATAATACGAGCTGCATTTAGTAGTGTATATAATGTTTATTATTGGGATATTATAATAATATTTATTATTATTATTATCCTAATCAGAGCTTCAGTTTCAGTTGATAACAAAATAGTTTGACTATAGTCAAAAGTAAATAAACTCAAATTTTATGCCTCTGATTTTTTTGCTTTTCAACAAAAAAAACTATATTTTTACAATGTTTATTTTTTTATTTAACACTTTAGTTGTATTGTAATAGAAGTATATTTCTGTGATACATAAAATTATTTATATCCCAAGAATAAACATTGTATCCCTGTGAATATTAATATTATTATAATCCCAATCAGAGTTTCAGTTGACAAAATACTTTGACTATGGTCAAAATTAAACAAACATTTTCAAATGTTATATTCCCCTGATTTTGTTGGATTTTTTTGTCCATGGTACCAGAAATCTGGATTTTACGGTATTGTATCAAAGTTCCAGTGTGGTGAGCGTGAAAGCCGTGTGTTTCTCTGTGATGCTGAAGAGTCGTTCTCTTTCTCTGTCTCGTGAAGGTACGCTGAAGAGACGACGAGCTCAACACGCCAGTCAGCAGCAGCAGCACCAGCACCATCAGCACCACAACCAGAACCAGAACCAGCACGCTCACGGCCACCAGAACCAGCGGCCGGCTCCACGCCAGGCCCAGCGCCAGCCGCAGCCGCAGCGCCACCACCGGCAGCCCCGCGAGAACTACCAGATGGGTCAGATGAGACGCTGAGAGCCACCGCCGCTGCCTCATCCACAGCTCCGCCATCCCCCCTCCACAGCCCACTCCGTTTGCTCCAGAACCGGCCTGCGCTCCAGAGCGTTTCGTTCAGTCTGAGCGTGGAGCAAGGCTTCACTCATCACCACCACAGTCCCACGTGTGGCGTCGGTTTACAGGAATATGTCCAGAGTCCATAATGCTTCCTCAGACTGGATGAGTAACACCAACCGCAGCTCTGCCCTTCACTCTTATCGTCTTTGATTATTTCTGTTGGTTTTTACCCTCGAGTGCCAAGGTTTACCGGGGTATTTGTAGATAGAGCATCTCCTGTTGTCCTTCGTAAACTCCACTCGAGACTCGTGGTTTGATATGAAACCTCTTTTTAAGGATTCGTGCGAAGCGTCTGCTCCAGCTGTCGCCACATGCACAGAAAATGATTTTATTTTGTAAGAGCAGAAATTTTATGCCTTCCCTTTTCCGCAGACTCGCGGCTGTATAGAGAAACAATATTAGCTGTATTATATGTGAGAACAGATTATTTCTTCTACTGTCAATAAGAGATTTACAGTTGGTTTTGTTGACAACACTCAGGACTCAAAAATACTAACGAAGGTGGCGGCTCAGCGTCACTCCGCCGTTTACATGTTTCTTTCTGTGTGCGTTTGTGTTTGTTTGTATATAGCTCCACACCTTTATGGCAAGCCCATCAACATTTAATCTTCAAACTTCTTGAGCTACTAGTGCTTATTATTGAGGTACTAGTAACTTTTTAAAGATACTAATTCTTATTCATTAAATACTAGTATGTTTTCCATTAGGTTCTAGTACTCCTTCATTAGCTGATAGTGCTTATTCTTTAAGTGCTAGGTCTCATTATTTAGGAAGTAGTAACTTTTTAAAGATACTAGTACTTATTTTAATGGAGACTACTAACTGTTCTATTGTTGTAGCAACACATTAAATTTTTTGTAACTTCTGTTATTCAGATATTTACTATTCAGTTTTGACTAGTAATAATTCCAATAGTGACTAGTATGTTTTTAAATAATATTAGTAAGCATTCAATTAGAAATTAGTACTTGTTTATTAAATACTATCACTTTCATTAGATACTAGTATGTTTATTAGACACCTGTAGTTATTTGTTAGGCACTAGTTTTAGGTACTTATTTTTTAGACACTAGTGTATTTTGTTATTGTTACTAGTAGCAATTCTTATTTTACTAGTCACACCTGCTTTTTTTCTCCTCTTATGTTATTACTAGTCAAAATGGCCACTGTAGAGCTCAATTGAAAATCTTTATAGTAAAATTCAAAATCTTACCAAAAACACTTGGAATAAGTACTAGTATGTAATAGGTGTATAGGAATGAATAGGTACTCTTATCTTTTAAAAAAGGTACTAGTAGCTAAAGATAAGCACTAGTATCTTATGAATAAGTACTAGCTGTATGAAAGTTAATGCTAGTATGTTATTAGGATTAAATGTTATGGTGGCTTGCCATACACTCACATTCACCACACTCCACCAATGAGGAACGTGTGCATGAAGAGCAGCGTAAACGTGAGTTTAATGTGTGTTTTAGCAGGACGATCATGAAGAAACCTTTATAAACGTACGATGGTTTCAGAAGACTGAAGTAACTGAGCATCATGGGAAAGCGTTCGGCTCCCAGTGAAGAGGATTCTCACGGTACTAACGGTCACATTAACATGTTTAGTTTACACACCTTCATCATCATGATGCTGGAGACAGACTGGCCTTCCTCTGATGTGAACGCTGTACAGTAACTGGATGATTTCTGTTAGATTTGAAGCTACATTTTGATACTGTTCTTTTGTGTTTGTGGAGTCCAGACCGACTCTTCTTTACCGTACTGCCATCAGTGAGGAAGAAACCTGGTTCGGTGGTTTTGCGGCAGTCAGGATCAAGGGAGATCTGAATATTTGCCTGTATTTTGACTTCATTTCATTTTTAGGTAGTCTTGGTGAAACTTCATAGAGGAAAAGTGCACTGAAAAAACTTCTTAACTGAGTCCAGATGTTGTAGGAGAAAATAGGCTGAACACTAAAATTGAGAAACGAATGAAAGACCAGATTTAAAAAAAAAATTAATACTGCTGTCTGTTAATGTTCACTGTGTTTTATACAGTACCTAAATTTTTGTTCACTTTGAACATTTTTACGTAACATTTCAGAACGTATTGTGCAAAGAGATGTATTTTTTTTGGAGTACTTGAACTGCATTAATAAACAGACTGGGTTGGAGGGCTGCTGTGCACGCTCGAGTTTGTGATCCGGCAGCGTCTGAACTCCTGCTGCTCCGAGATCCTCAGATGAGAGACTTCAGCGGAGACGCCGCAGAACCACCACCTGCACAGACCGGATCAGAGAGGGTGAGATAGAAGTAAATACAGGGTTCCTGCTGATCTTTACACTCTTAATTCACAAATAAATGATCTTAAATCATTTTGCTGCTCTAGTAAATGTATCTTGATTTAAGCATCTGTAGACTATTCTACTGGAAAACAAGACAAAAACACTGAAGATGGAAGGTTTTTTGGGGGGGGAATGATAGTCTCAAATAATTAAACTTGGCTTATGCATTCACAGTAATGTCTTCAGACCCAGTTATATGCTTCTGAATTATGACCTGAAGTGAGATCATGCATTATTAACAGCAGTTTTTCTCAGAGCAACTTGCTTGTTCAGCCTCCAAATCATGGAATCCCTTCACATCATGAAAGCAGTTTCTGATTCGTGCTTTGGTTCATTCATGCAGCTGATTATGTAGTTTCTGATGCACGATCAGTCTGCTGAACATCTAAGCAGCCGTTCATAACGGCACCGCACTAAATGTTGCATGCATTACAAAAACAATGTCTTAAAATTTTTGTTCTTCAGTACAAATATCTATGAATATCCTTAAACCAAGATACATTTACTGGAGATGCAAAATAAAAATATGAAGTCTTGAAAAAATGAACAAGATGTTTGATTAAAACGAACAAATATCTGTCAGAGGGGAATGAAAACCTGTTTCCCTTTTAATGAAGTTGATTTCTCTGACAGATATTTGTTCTTGTTTTAATCATAAACTCGCTTCATTTTGACAGCAAATGTTGCTTGCTTTTAGTCTTGAGTAAAATGCTCTTGTCTGAATTATTTGTTTTAGTCTAGTTTAGAAAAGATCAGATTTTAGTCTACTAAATTACAGTACATTTAGCTAAACTGTAACGCATTAAGTATTTCTCTAGAATTTATTCTTTAGTCCGTTTTTTTTTTTTTTTTTTAATTGACCAATTTTCAGTAGGTTTTCATCAGTCTGACATTTCTTTCACTGACAAAAATGAGACGATGACGTCATTCTTAACTTTTTTTTTTTACGAAGTTATGAAAAATATTGTCAATGAAATGAACACTGCTTCTCATCTTGTCATTTTTATTCTCCAGTAAATGTTTCTTGATTTAAGGATCTTCAGACATTTGCACTGGAAAACGAGACAGAAACTCTGAGGAAGAGCAGCAGTTGTTTTGCAGAAGATACAGTAAAAGTTATTTCATATTCTAGTGATTGTGAGCAGAGATATTTAAGACTTCGGCTGTTTAATTAATTTTACAAAGTAATTTTCCAATGTTGAAGTGTTTCTAATGTAACTCATTAGAGACCATACTGACGTGTTGATCCCTTCGATTTACTTGGTCTTAAAAAGGTCTTAAATTCCTCTTCATCAAACCTGCAGAACCCTGACAAGTCATTACATGAAAACAGTTGAACCAGGAGTCAGCTTTCACTAGCGAAGGTGGACGACTGTAAATCTCCAAACTGTTCTAATAAAGGCACATTTCTAATGTTTGTCTTTCTAGGTTTGTATTTTTTCCTTTGCTGTGAAACAACTTTTTTCTGCATCACAGTGACATTATACTGTAATTTGTAGACCGTGTAAAAGAGAATCCTGTCCAGTCTCCTAGATGAAATATGACACATCCTGTAATGTGTGAGTTTGTCCAGCTGGAACTGATATAATATGCAGTGTTTTCAGTCTCTGTTCAGAACAGGAAACACAGACCGAGTAACGCCGGTATACTGACAGCACACTCGAGCGTTTGTGAATCACATCTGTCATTCTGATGCATATATTCACTGCCATAAATACTTGCGTTTACAAGACCCCATACAACAACAAAAAATACACGATATATATATTAAACAGTGAAGCTCAGTAAAATATGCTTTTGAAATTGAAAATGTATTTTGATATATGAAGGTTTAAAACATGAGAAAACTCATGTGTTACAGATGTGACTGGAATAGCCTAATGGAGATTTTGTCCACTATTAAAATATTTTCAATATTTACATTCTGAAATGGTTTATATAATTACACACACATATATACAGTATGTGTAAATATATATATATATATATATATAATTATAGAAATGTTTACAGTTAAATAGTAAATACACTATCAGTTTTTTTTTTCTTCAAATGTGATATGATTTTTTTGTGATGAATGATTTTGATCAAGTTACAGGCTTTTGCTGGAGATCCATTATGAGCTGCTGTTTGTGAGAACTGAAGAAATGCACTTTCTGCTTTGTGATTATTAAGCATGATTCGAGAAACGTACCAAGGCAACTGAGAATATTATGATTCCTGCATGGATTCAGTCTTTCTCAGACAATATTCTGTGGAAACTCACTTCTCCTGAGTCTCTCCCGATTTGATGAGGATCCTCCACACGCTGAGCTCCACGTCCTGATCAGAGCCATTGATCATGATGTTCCTGACGCGCCTCATCCAGCTGGACCAGACCAGTTCACCCTTCCAGACCAGCCTGACGGAGCTGAGCCGGCCCAGATCAGACGATACCACCAGTAGAGACGTGAAGGACTTCAGACCGCCGCTCTCCTGATGCCTGCAGACGGTGAGAGCTTCATGATTATTCACTTCACACACACACACACACATTGTAAAGACCTTGTCTCAGATGACCACCGGGACAAGACCACAGGAATCAGATGATTCCTCTGCACAATGTGACTTTGAATGTGACTGCAGCCTGAAATTGAACTGCTGGTTTTGTCTGGCCAGAGGAGAACTGGCCCCCCGACTGAGCCTGGTTTCTCCCAAGGTTTTTTCTCCATTCTGTCACCGATAGAGTTTTGGTTCCTTGCCGCTGTCGCCTATGGCTTGCATAGTTGAGGACACTTCATTTCCAGCGATATCGTTGACTTGATTGCAAATGATTGCAAAGATGCTATTTAAAATAAACTGAGCTGGATGATGACATCACTGAATTCAATAATGAACTGCCTTTAACTGAAAAAGTTGTTTACTATTGTCATTTTGCATTATTGACTCACTATTTTCCTAATTAATGCCGTTCAGTTGCTTTGACACAATCTGTATTGTTAAAAGCGCTATATAAATAAAGGTGACTTGACACACACTCACTCACTCATTCACTCTCACTCTCACTCACACACACACTCATTCACACACACACACACACACACTCATTCACACACACACACACACACTCACACACTCACTCACACACACACTCATTCACACACACACACACACACACTCATTCACACACACACACACACACTCACACACTCATTTTCTCACACACTCATTCTCACACACACACACACTCATTCACACACTCATTCACACACTCACTCACTCATACACACACACACACACACACACACTCACTCACTCATACACACACTCATTCATTCACACTCATTCACTCACACTCACTCATTCACACACACACACACACACACACACACACACTCATTCACACATACTCACTCATTCACACACACACACACTCATTCACACTCACTCATTCACACACACACACACTCATTCACACATACTCACTCATTCACACTCACTCATTCACACACTCACACTCACTCATTCACACTCACTCACACTCACTCATTCACACACTCACACTCACTCATTCACACACTCACTCATTCTCACACTCACTCACTCATTCACTCACACACACACACTCACTCATTCACACACACACTCACACATTCACTCATTCACACCCACACACACTCTCATTCACACTCACTCATTCACACACACACACACACACACTCTCACACAGTGCCTGCACAAAAATCGAATGAGGATAAATCCCACCTCTTGTGTTTGTGAATCAGTCTGAATTAGGGTTGCAAAAAGGTGGAAAATTTCCAGGATTTTTTTGGGAATATTCCAGGGATTTTTGGAAAGTTTCTAGAAATGTTCCACCCCTTTGCAACCCTAGTCTGAATGAACAATCTAATGGCGTTAATGGGAAGACTAATTAAAAAAGTAAACAACTCACATACTTAGAAATAACCACTTTGTCAAGTCAAAATCAAACTTCAAATGGCCTGAAAACATGATCAGTGGTGTTATCAGCAATCAGCTTGCTGAAATTAAAGGTACATCTCCGCATCTCTGAACAGTGTTTACCGAGCTCTGATGATCCGAAAATAAGCTTATGATGAAAAAGAACATAAAATATATAATTGTTTAAATAAAATACATTGTTTGAGTTATTATTGTGGAATAAATGTAAAATGCTTAAAAACACTAAACTTAGATTTATACTTGGTTTTAATGAATAGAATAGTCCATTAATTACATTGTTAATGTAAAAATACAAAATAGATTTTTGTTCTGGTAGTGTAAGTAATGTAACCAAGATAATGTGACTGAGACATGAATTTACACTTACTGTAAGTAAAAAAGAAATGTGAGGACTTTGCCTCCTCATTTCAGAACACCACAGATAGATAGATAGATGGACAACACGTCTCAGGACCTACTCATTGTCGAAATAATACTCTAGATTTAATACTGTCACATGGAATTGATGTTGATGGTGTTGAAATTATGCAGCCAAGCAATGATATCTCAGATCATTATCTAGTCTTGTGCAAACTTCATATAGCTAAAACTGTCAATTCTAATCCTTGTTACAAGTATGGTAGAACCATCACTTCTACCACAAAAGACTGCTTTGTAAGTAATCTTCCTGATTTATCCCAATTCCTCAGCATATCCAATACCTCAGAACAACTTGATGATGTAACAGAAACTATGGACTCTCTCTTTTCTAGCATTTTAAATACAGTTGCTCCTTTACGCTTAAGGAAGGTTAATGAAAACAGTCTGACACCGTGGTATAATGAGCACACCCGCACCCTAAAGAGAGCAGCCCGGAAAATGAAGCGCAGCTGGAGGAAAACAAAACTAGAGGTATTTCGTATTGCTTGGAGGTAAAGTACCCTATCCTACAGAAAAGCATTAAAAACTGCTAGATCTGATTACTTTTCTTCTCTTTTAGAAGAAAACAAACATAACCCCAGGTATTTATTCAATGCAGTGACTAAATTTACGAAAAAATAAAGCATCAACAAGTGTTGACATTTCCCAACAGCACAGCAGTAATGACTTTATGAACTACTTTACTTCTAAGAGCGATACTATTAGAGATCAAATTGTAACCATGCAGCCGTCAGCTACAGTATCGCATCAGATAGCTTGCTATAGATCGCCTGAGGAACAATTCCACTCATTCTCTACTATAGGAGAGGAAGAATTGTATAAACTTGTTAAATCATCTAAACCAACAACATGTGTGTTAGACCCTATTCCACCTAAGCTCCTAAAAGAGGTGCTTCCAGAAGTCATAGATCCTCTTCTGACTATTATTAATTCATCATTGTCATTAGGATATGTCCCCAAAACCTTCAAACTGGCTGTTATTAAGCCTCTCATCAAAAAAACACAACTTGACCCCAAAGAACTAGTTAATTACAGACCAATCTCAAATCTCCCTTTTCTGTCCAAGATACTAGAAAAGGTAGTATCCTCACAATTATATTCCTTCTTAGAGAAAAATTTTATCTGTGAGGATTTCCAGTTAGGATTTAGGCCGTATCATAGTACTGAGACTGATCTCATTAGAGTAACAAATGACCTGCTCTTATCATCTGATTGTGGTTGTATCTCTCTATTAGTGCTATTGGATCTTAGCGCTACGTTCGACACGATTGACCACAACATTCTTTTGCATAGACTAGAAAACTTTGTTGGCATTAATGGAAGTACATTAGCATGGTTCAAATCATACTTATATGACCGCCATCAATTCGTAGCAGTGAATGAAGAGGTATCATATCGATCACAACTTCAAAAGTGCAGTATGGAGTACCTCAAGGCTCAGTACTAGGGCCATTACTCTTCACGCTT